TGTTGCTCCAGGCATTTCCAAGTATACTAAATTTAAAATTGATAGCCGTCCATAAAACCGGCGGAGTATATTGACAGTTTTTTTCCATCTACGTAAATTTCGTTGCATTTATTGCTATAAAAATGCGATTCGTTAAATGTTCGAAGTTAGTTCAAAAAGAGACAGCTTCTGAGTTCGAACTTACCATTTGAAACTGTTAATATTAATTCATTTTTACAATGTTCCGTCCAACGATGGTAACTTATTTATCTCTGTACGTTTTGTTCAGTTTTATTTATTCATTGGATTGTTTAATTTAGATTTTGTTAGCTCTGATGGTTAGTAGCATCTGTTTAGCAGCAGCCATTCCAGTGGAATTTGCCAATCCAGAAGAAGCTCCAAAACCGATAGCCGCACCTGTTCAATATGCAAATCCAGAAGGTGGTGCAAAACCGGAAGGAGCTTTAAAACTAGGAGAATCTACAGATCCTGAGAAAAAACTGGAAGTTGGTGAGAGATTCTTTGGTGGTCTTGGTGGTCTTGGTGGCCTTGGTGGCATTGGTGGACACCATGGCTTAGGCCATCTTGGTGGTTTAGGCCATCTTGGTGGCTTGGGCACCGGTCTTGGTGGCTTAGGCAGTATTGGCGGACTCGGATATCCAGGGATCATAAATCCATACTTAGGATAGGTGTTGTATCATTATATAAATTTAATCTTCGATTGTGTTAGAATAAAATGGTATTTCTTCCAGCTAAAGTGTTTTAAAGTCTGTTTGATTCATTTGAATGTTTTGCACTCATATTCATTTAGTTTAGTGTAATTTCCATTATTAATAAATTCTGTTAGGAAACACGAAATGTTTTCATTCGCAATCTAGAATTCCGATCTACAATTCCGTGTTGAGCTCATATACTGAAGTAATACAAATATAACAAGCTGATTGAGAATGTTGAAACGAGCTTTGATATCTGCAATGGATAAGTATCTATATACCATACACGGTGTAGGCATTTCTACTTCGTTTGCATTTTTTGGTATTACGCTCAATTTCAAATACATTGCATACTTCGTTTGCACGTAATATTCATGCTCGGGCAATGTTGATTTAGACGAAGATACTTCTTATTCCACAAATTACATCAATTCTTCAACCGTATCAAAAGAGTTTATAGCAGTTAGGAATGATTTTGCATCATATCAAGAATCGGGAAAACGGCAATCCGCAGCACCGGAATCAATTCTGTGAATCTCGTCTTTTAGTTCACACCTTTCATTGTCAAAAAACGACATGAGATGAAATTTTGTATTGACTTTTTGCAGTTTGAGCACAAAACGTGTAGATTTTGTTTCTAGCCTAATGATGTTCTTGATAAGAGCGAAACGTCGCAACTATTTACTAAGAAAAAAAACTTTCTTCACGGTTTTAGCTCAACACACCGTTTTTTATTTTATTAAAATTAAAATTGGATAAAGGAAACTTCGAAAATTGTATCAACGTATCGAGTATGAACAAATAGCAATAGCGATGAAAATTCAATAGTTGAAAGTTAGTTATTCATTATGAACTAGCGAAGAAAAAGTTTGGAAAATTTCAAACGCGAATGAATATTCCAAGTTGACTGGATTCAAATTCACTGGCATTGATACATCCTAGGGGCTCAAATATACGACTGTGTAGCGCACCAGTTTCCGTTTATCGTTGCTCATTGCATTTAGAGACTAACGATGCGTCAGACGAACGCAAAAATACAGCGCATCACTCATACGAGAGCACACCGCCTGTGAACGTGCGAATGAATCAGCACAAAACGACGCGCATACGACGAATATTTGTGGATACTTCGAATGTCACGTATATTTTCGAATACATTGAATTATTAGAATCGACGCCGTCGATGTATGAATACATAAAAGCCCCTAGGATACATCCAAAGAAGAAAACGGAATGACGAAGACATGAACAATTTATCATCACATTCAATATAAAGTCAATCACAATTAAGGGAAAGAATGTTGAAAATTATAGTTTCCATTGAATTTTAACTATGATTAAAACATAGAATGCTTTAGAATTTATGGTGTTAACTAAATAAAATAAATCTAGCCATTCGTTCATAAGCTTTTATAAAAAGCAGTTGTGTTTCGTTCATTCATAGTGTTTTAACAGATGATACGGAAATTCACAGATGTTCTTTTTGCAATATAACATTATTGAAATAGATTTCCTGTGTGATCTGGATAATCTGCGAAAAAACGTTCCGGTTCACAGAAATGATTGAATAATGATTGAATGATGCCCAATTCTCAACAATTTCAATCATTTCATTTAGATCACAATCTTTTGCTCATGCTGTTTGGTTGTCTGTTACCACGCCATGTTGCCAAATTAAAAGTTTCAAAAAGCATTGCTTTTTCATCGAAGCGAAACAGCATTGATCGTTGGAATGGCTATAATGTATTTGTATGAATATGTTCAGCTAAAAACATCGCATATCACAATTGTGCAAAATGCAAAATGTCTGGCACTTACATTTTGGCTTGACCAACTGTTTTTCCACGAATTCCATTAATTGCGCGACGACCACTATTTGTCGATTATATTCATCCTGTATTCATGTAAACTCAACATAATTATCATTCAATTGACAATAAGTTTGGCAAAATATCTATAAAAACAACGATTTGTCTTATGAAATGTCGATATTTTTAGTGCTCGCTCTACTTATCACTTTTCAATCACCATTTTGCTCATTTGAATTCATTTCTTTTGCTTTCAACAACATTCCAAATATCTTTTAATCAGATAAATATAGCCGACTAACTGCTTGTTATCCTAGATGTATTTATCTTTTTGAGAAGGCTCAATATTCCCTTGATTTGGAGCAGATATTGCATAAAAAATGAAAAATACGTCAGTTAGAGGAATATATCTATCTGGTAGAGATAAAGACCCTTAGTTGTTATCTATATGATACACATCCTAGGTTAAAGAATGTGTACACAAAGCATAGGGGCAAATGGCCGTTGTTATTTGTAGATCGATTTTCTATATTTTCGCTTCATTCTACAACGAATCCACTACGAATGAGTTACTTTAATCAATTCAAATGTATTCAAATTCCACATATAAATAAACTTTCGAACAGATTCCAAATTAATTCTAGTAACGCGGCAGTTCAATGTGCAATTATAGTTATTCCTTAGAAGTTTTACTTCTAATAATAAAATGAAGATCTTGCGATTTTATTGAACGAAACCGGTACCTTGCCGATTGGCATTGATTTTAAAACAGCGAGCAACGCAATCACTTACAAAACATCAAGGATGACATTTTGGTGACACCATAAATTCGAAGTTCCGTCATACGCATAACATTTGAAATGTATTTGATTCAAACCAAATTTAAGATGCTCGAACAAAAAAATCGCATGAAAAAATTAGTTGATGCAAATGAATGTATTATTCTGGTTTTATCTTTTGCATCCAGACACAATATAAGATAATCTCGCCAGAGCTCGTCGCCGGTTTTCAATGGTGCTAGTAAAAAAATATCCAGTCTTCATGAATTTTTCCTAGATTATTAGTGCAATTTGCTTGATGATTTGAGTGTAATTTCGTTGTTAATGCGGAAATTCTTTAAGTACATTGTGAGGCTTTAATTAGTTTGGATAATGGATGATATCTAAATTACTTTATACTCATGAGTTTTTTTTTTGAATAATAATCTTTCGAAAAATCACCATTATGTCTCGAATCGATGTGAATAAACAAGTAACTCATGCAAACTATCAATGATGTATTGCCATTAACTTTACCGTTTTTAATCAGTAATTTTCAAAAAAGCCATTCAAACCGAAAGTTCTATTTGTACTAAACTGATTTTCGTGTGCACTCTTCTTCACTCTTCTGCATTACGGCGATCGAACTTGGTTCACCGCAAAGCGAGCGCGTCATATTTATCGCATTAATGTATTCAGCGAGATAAACTTATGCCCTAGTGTAGCATGGTATTATGCCGGTTGGCGAAGCAATCAGTAAGTTGCTTGCATGGAACACAATAATCACTACCAAATCCATACATAGCATGTCTCAGATACAGCGCAGCATGAAAATCGCACATGAAAGATTTCGATTGACAAATTGGTTGTTTTGGAATTTCATGAATAATGTCCTTGAGTTCATTTGCCGTAGACAGATTTTTATATTTAGCAATAAGATTAGAGAATGCTTGATAAGCTTATAAAACGAAATCTAATTGGAAAGCTCTCCAATTTCATCTTTCAAATTTTGGTTGCCTTTGCTTCCAAATGATTTTTTACACATTCAGCTGACCAATAGATAAGAAATTTTAATTGATTACTCTATAAGCGACCTAACAATAGATAAGAAATTGAATCACTTTGTAAGCGACGTAACAATGACACGTTATTAAAAGAAAAAGAGTAATGTGTCTTATTAATTTCAAATGTATTTCCATTCAAATTGATAAAATGGTTAATATTTTAATGAATTTCTGGGATCACACATGTTGTTATTAATTCTTTAATGAATCTGGTTGATTTTTTAGGAATACGTTCCCTCCTTGGAGATGACATGTTGACGAAATACAATCCAAACTTTTCTCTGGAATTGGAAAAAATCATTCAAAAAATATTACGTTTTATATTTGAAAGAAAGATTATTGCAACATTTATAAGATTAAATTCCTTACGTGTATCCCGAGCTCCATTCAAAATTGTCTATTAGTGACCAAGCTGTAATGTTTGATTTGTTGAAAAAATGTGTTATGGGAAATTCGAAGATAAGTATACTTAACCTGTATACGCTTTCACATTGCAACCATCGTTCGAAATTGCATTTGAAACTTGTTGCAAATGGTCGTGAAAGTAAGCGATACGGCCGTCATCTTCGAGTTCACCTTTATCAGACCATCCATTTTCTGTTATAATCACATCGGGATTATTATACTCGTTCTTGATCCATCTAGAATATAAAATTTGTTTATGATGTTCAAATCATCTATGGGGCTATGCGACAGATGTATTGAGAACGCACTTCAAAATATCGCCAAGACCTTGTGGAAAAGAATATAACCACTCAGATGCACTTTTAACCCATACTGGTTTAATCACTTCTTTATATGATTTGTCCCGTACAATTGATGGATTATCGCCAATTGGTTCAATTGAAATTTCGACATAACGACTAGTGTAATAATTTAAGCCTAAGAAGTCGGCTGATCCACGAATTTTTTCTATCCAATCAGCAGAGAATTCCGGAAGTCTTGATCTTAAGCGACCCTCTTTTTCACTATTCTTTGCAATTTGATCGAACATAACTGACGGATAACCACCTTTTGAGCTGAAAATCGGATGAGCAACCCAACCAAGCTACATATTTGCATTTTTCATTAATAAAAAATCAGCAAAGATTTATCACACTTTATCGTCTTCAGAAAAAGGAGTTACTCTCCAACTCACCGAAAATTGCAACGCTCTATCCACTGTTACCATGTCATTTGTGTCTGAATAAAAGAATGGAGAATTCAAAGAAATGCCAACGTGTCCTTTGAACAGGTTATAATATTTGCTCTTGTATAAACGATAAGCAACGGCATGTGATTTCAAGGCATTGTGAGCGCATAAATATTCACCAATGCCATGAGCATTTATTCCTGGTGCGTGATTACTGCTGCCATAACTCTGTACACAAAATTCCGCTGGCTGGTTGATGGTAATCCAATATTTCACACGATCGCCAAAGCGTTGGTATAACAAATTGGCATATTCTTCAAAGTATTTTACTATGATTGAGTTTGTGAAACCGCCCAGCTGTTGCAGTTTTCGCGGCAGATCAAAATGTTGCATGGTTACCATTGGTTCTATTTCGTATTCAATGAGTTTATTGATCAATTTGTTGTAGTATTCGATGCCTTTTTC